CAGCTCTGTACTCCGTCACAGAAGTCCGACTGAGGAACACATGCTGACCCATCAGCACAAGCCTTCTGTCCTTCTGGACAACTCACTGTAGTGACTGACAGCAGACGCACCACTATTACCAACAACTACAGAAATGTTCACTTTTTAAACAAATCACTCATTTTTACAAACATTTAAATGCATAGTTATAAACTATACAATACATAAATTTGGGGTAGGTAAGATTTTCTTAAATGTTTTTGAATTAAGTCTCCTATTCTCTGATCATAAATAGATTAAAAACTGTAATATTGTACAATTTTGATAGAATGTAAAACAGCTGTTTTCTGTGTGAATATCTGTTAAACTGTAATGTATTTCTGTGATGCGCAGCTGTATTTTCAGCATCATTACTCCAGTCTTCAGTGTCACATGATCTTCAGAAATCAGTCTAATATGCTGCTCAAGAAATATTTCTGATTATTATCAATGTTGAAAACAGTTGTGCTGCACGATATTTTTCTGGAAACCGAGATGCAGTTTATCTTTCAGGATTCACAGATAAATAGAAAGTTCAAAAGAACAGTGTTTATAAATCAAATCAAATATTTTGTAACATTATAAATGACTTCACTTTTGATCAATTTAACGCATCCCTGATGAATTTTTATTTTAAAAAAAAAGTACTGACCCCAAACTTTTATGTGTGAGTGTGTGTGTGTGTGTGTGTGTGAATGCATATATAAAGGACATACCACAGAGAGTGTGCTGCTCATCGGTGCTGTCAGCGCAGCTCTGTACTCCGTCACAGAAGTCCGACTGAGGAACACATGCTGACCCATCAGCACAAGCCTTCTGTCCTTCTGGACAACTCACTGTAGTGACTGACAGCAGACGCACCACTATTACCAACAACTACAGAAATGTTCACTTTTTAAACAAATCACTCATTTTTACAAAATATTTTTGTGGAAACTGTGATACATTTTATTTTTCAGGATTCACAAATTAATAGAAAGTTCAAATGCATAGCATTTATGTAATGCTGTTTTTGCAACATTATAAATGTCACTTTTGATTAATTTAATGTAACCTTCCTAACTAAAAGAAAATAAAATAAAATAAAATTAATTAATTAATTAATTAATTAAT